CTGAACTGGAACATTAACTACCACCTGTGCTCCTTCCCCTTTTGACTAGAGAAACCAAATTTGATTATCTGCAGCACGGTACATCAAGGACATCCTCTAGTGGTCATAATTGCAGTTACCACAATCATACATACCATGATTTCATGTCATTTGGTTATTCGTTTTAGAGTATTTGTAACACTGCTTCTCTACTTGAGGAAGCTTTTAGAGATATGTACTAGTGAGGATTCCCTTCAGAGCATCTCTTCCAATTGAATTATTGGCGTAAATCTGAGGAAAGAAACTGCTCTCACCCACAGACCTCATTTGAGTTCTGTTCAGGGAAGGTGGGGAAGGGGAAATGCCCCTGAAAAAGGGGCATCACCACCCAGCACGCACATATAAGGTGCAGGTCCCTTAATGAGGCAAGGCCAAGCTGGGCTCAGGTCCCTCATGGTGGTGAATCCAGGCAAGATTTATGTCCCTTAGCGATATCAGGCTGGGCCCCAGGCTGGCCACACGGTAAGGGCGGGCTGTCCAGGTGCATCCCTCATCAAGGCAAGGCCAGAAGTGGCCCCACAGTGGGCATGGTGGTCTGAGCCAAGCACCTCCTTTTCTGTGACTCCAGCTCAGGATGGTGGGGGATCACATCCACCGTTCTCTTCAGGCTGGGGTGGCCCCAGCAGGAAGGGACCCTCAGGTTAGAGTGGCCCCTATTGGGGAAGTGGCTCCCTAGGGTTTTAAGAGTAGCCATTAAGCATAGATCTTGGATGATGAAAGAATTTGGTTCACCAAACATGTACAAATGCTATATATTATTTAAAAAACAACAACAACAACACTGCATGGAACTACTGATAGAAGCTAAGAGACCATATACTAAAGACATACTGATTCTTTCTCTCAGTCCAGAATAATTGGTCTGCATACTTATGACTCCTAACATAGCACTTCAGAATTGTCCCTTTATGTTGTTCATATGAATGCATTGAAATTGGTGGGGGGAAAGCAGTCTGAGAGCTTAAATAAATGCTTAATCAGGCTCTAGGAATGGAAACCCTGAATTCAGGAGAAATATGACTTCAGATAACATTATCTGAAGAAGTGAGCAGTGACTCGCAAAAGCTCCTTCCCTGCCACATATTTTGTTAGTCTTTAAGGTGCTCCTGGACTCTTGCTCTTTGGATAACATTAAAAAGGTTCTCAGTAATTAATTATACCAGAAACAAAGCTTTGTTGGGATTGCTTTATGGACTGACTCCAGCATCTACCTACCATCAGTTTCCATGTAGATCTAATAGTATATTTGTGGGAAAGACCACACCAATAGGAACAAGTTTAATGTGACTGTATGTACATATTTTCAGAGAGTAGACATGCTGCTCTGTAGCAGAAGAGCTGGATGTAGGTCCAGTAGTACCTTAGAACCAACAAGATTTTCGTGATCTGAGATTTCAAGAGTCAAAGCTCCTTTTATCAGGTACCAATAGACAAGTAATCTGAGTTTACTCTTATTTTGTGTCAAATGGTTTCATTAGTCTGATGTTGTCTCTGCATTATAAACATGTGTAGTTCAGCTCCCTGTAGGGAATAGACGAGGTTTTTGTCTGGCTTCCCCATCTGACTGAGTCACTGTGCTGAGCACTGTTGTGCCACACCGAACAGTAATAATCAGCCTCATCTTCTGCCAGGGCTCCAGCAATGTTTAAATAGCAGGTGTTGCTGGAGGTATCTTTGGAAGCAGAAAATCGAGAGGGGATCCCGGAGCCCTGGTGCTTTCTGGAATCTGAGTGATACCATAAGAGGAACCTGGGGGGATTCCCAGGCTTCTGCTGGAACCAGAACACATCATAGCCAGTGATGCTGGACCCACTGCTCATGACGCAGGAGACTTTTGCTGAGTTTCCTGGTGACACTGATGCTGCTGGTGGCTGAGATATTGCATCCTGAGAGTTTGAACCTGGAAAAAGATGGTTGCATCAGTTGTCACATTCACACTGCTTCCCAAGGGCATTCACCTTAGCTACGTTTCAGTGTATATTCAGTGAATTCTCACCTGTGCACCACATGACTAGTAGAGAGAGAATGGCAGACCACAGCATGATGTTGAGTCTGAGTTCCCTAATGCGGAAAGAAAACAAAACTAAGACCATTGGAAATTCTTACACTAATGGCCCTTTATATCCATCCTGTTTGCATCTGTGCTCCACCTTCTTGGTCATCAGCCCTAATCTGATAGGTCCTGGCTATTATAGGAGGGCTCAAAGGGAGGGTGTGCTATTTCTGGTGAAGAATGTGTTGAACAGATCTCATAAGGGGTGCTATTTCAATAAACTTGGAGCTGTGAGAGACAAGTATTGCGGGACTGGGTTAGATATTTATTCCAGTCCTAGATGTTGATTTATTTAGATGTAGTAGGCATGTTGGATCACATCCTGCTACTTGCATGCTCACAATCACCAATGCGCTGCAGAAGCCACTATTCAGCAGAAGGTTGGGAATGATACACAGTTTAACCGTTTTGACTGTACAATTGATAGGTTCAGTGGTGGTGAGATGTATGTTGCTTGAATAGTTTCCACTGCTGTTTCAGCAGACTTGAAGAATTATCATCAAGGAAGCTAAATTCACCTCTTGGGTGTCCCAGGGTTCAGTCAGTCACACACGTGTTTTTTTTTTAATATTTATGTTAAACCTTAAAATAAGATCATGTTTAGCATTGAAGCTGCCATCTTTTTGCCGTTTTTGTAACCTGCTACTAGTGTGCATGTGTAGGGAGTAAAGCCCCATGACAAGTAAGACAATGAGAACCAATCACTCAGCGGTGGAAACAATTCCTACATGAGTCTAACACTTGGCTTGTTCCTCACAAAAGTCCACCAGTGTTCTGCTTATGTCTCAGCTAGTCAGTGTCCCATCACAATTCTTGTTCACACTCTTCCTATCACATGACTGTGATGTCATATGTTTGCAGCTTTGTGGCTTCCATGCTGCCTTCTATAGGTTAACAGTGGGGCCTGGGTGTGGGAAGGGTGAAGCCCACTTCTGTGGCTGACTCTATCTGCCTATATTTGCAACAGTGCCCGAGGTATAGAATAAAACTTTTCCTTTTTAAATAGTGGAAGTCTGTGTACTTCCCCTCTCCAATGCTGAAATAATTGGTGGGCTTTTTATATCTATAAAGGTGATAGGTAGGTAGGTAGGTAGGTAGAAGACAGAATCAAGATTCAGGATGATCTCGACAGGCTGGAAAACTGGTTTAAAAGTAACAAAATGAAGTTCAACAAAGATAAATTCAAAGTTTTGCATTTAGGCAGAAAAAAATCAAATGCATAATTATAGGATGGGGGCGACTTGTGTTGACAGTAGGGATGGGCACAAACTGAGAAAATGCATTTCAGTTCATGGTATGCCCGGTTCGCGAACCACAAACTGTCATGAACTTTTAGCCACCAAACAAACTGGTTTGGCTTGTGAGGTATGTGACATGGTAGCCGGCATGCTAAAGACACCAAACTCACAGGGGATCTCTGGTTGACTCTCCTCTACCTGCCCTCCAAGTTTGGTGAGGATTGGATTTAGGCAGTCCTTTCCCCAGAAAGCACTTTCCTGGGGCACCTTCTTTGGGGAGCCATAACTTGAACCCCCTAAATCCAATCCTCACCAAACTTGGAGGGCAGGTAGAGGAGAGTCAGCTGGAGATCCTCTGAGAGTTTGGTGTCTCTAGCATGCCTGGGGGAGGGGGCATTCTACCACCTCATGAATCGAACCAGTTCGTGAGGCGGCTAAAAGTTCATGATGGTCTGTGGTTCGCAAACGGCATGCCACGAACCATGAGCTGAATGCATTTTCCTAGTTGGTGTCCATCCCTAGTACTGTCAAAACTGTTGCTCCCCCTTTCCCTGTCATATGATGGTTATGTCACACTGTTGCAACTTATTGGGTCCTATGCTGCTGCATAAGGTGTATCCAGGGTCTGAAAACATACAAGAGCACTGCGCTAGATGAAGGCATCTGTCCATACTTGCAGCAATATCCTGATAAATGTTTCCCCCCCCCTTTAAAAAAGTTGAACTCCATGTGTTCCTGCTTCATTGCTACAACAATCTGAGATAGAGGGAGAGAGAATATGATAGACACCAAAATTTAAGATCACATTTGCATTCCACATTCTTTTTCCAATCACTGACTCGATCTCCTGGGCCAGTCCTGCTACTGCATGATTGAGACTTATATGGTGCCACTTGTAATGTTCACACATCCCAAACATAAAGCAAGAAAATGTTTTGCGTTTGAGAAGAATCACCATGGAATATTCATTTGCTACCCTATTTGAGAGTCTGTGGGTGCGTTCAGATGGGGCATTTACAACAGTATAGGTGCCGGTTGGAATCAGTGTACTTACCGGCATTTACACGGCGAACATCTGCCTTCCGTCCCTAACCGTTGCAAAGAGCTTTAAACTGTTGTATTCTGCTACTAGGTCCCCAAGTGGTGGTATCCTGAGTGCAACGGTTGTAATCACTTTACTTCCCCCCCCCCGGTCTGATCGCTCTCCACCGTTGTAGAGCCGCTTCCATCCACTGTGTGTGAACGGGCATACAGCGATGGGCTCCACAGACAGGAGGTAAGTGTGATCGCTTTTCAGCTGGCATAAACTGCAATGGTTCCAACCAGTACAGTTTATGCCGGCTGAAACGCCCCGTCTGAACGCACCCTAAGTCATTCAGTGCTCTGTTGCCAGAGAAGCTAAAGGTACAACCGGAGATCTGAAAGCTTAATACTACAATAGGCTTCAATGGCAACCAAAGTTTTGCTGGGATTGCACAGCACTGGTTGGGATCTTGCCACTTCCGTATTGATCTAACGGGGGATGATTGGGGGAAAAGGTCAATGCAAAAGGGAATAAGTTTACTGTGACTCCTGTGTTCATGATAACATGTACTTACTCATACTATCTAATGTTTTTTTATTAGTCAGACGGTGCCCCTGTACCACAAAGATATGCAGTTTAGCTCCCCTTAGGGAATATGAGAGGTTTTTGTCCAGCTTCCCCTTCTGTTTGAGTCACCGTGATAAGCACTGTTGTGCCACACTGCACAGTAATAATCGGCCTCGTCTTCAGCCGAGGCTCCTGCGATGTTTAAATAGCCGGTGTTGCTGGATGTATCTTTGGAACTAGAAAATCGAGAGGGCACCCCAGAGCCCTGGTACTTGTCGGAATCTGACTTATACTGGAAGAGGAATCGTGGGGGATTCCCAGGCTTCTGCTGGACCCAGAGCACATAGTAGCCACTGATGCTGGACCCTCTGCTCATGGCACAGGAGAGCTTCGCTGTGTTCCCTGCTGAAATGGAAGCTGAGGGTGGCTGAGAGATCACTTCCTGGCAGCTCAAACCTGCAAAAAAAATTAATATTGCAGAAACCGTCATATTCACGCTGCTTCTCAGCTGCATTTCTCTTAGCAATGTTTCTAGGTATATTTGTTGTACTCTCACCTGTGCACCACAAGGCTAGAAGGCTGAGCATGGGAGCCCAGGACATGATGATAAGATTGGTGGCCCCAGTGAGAAAGAAAACAAGACAGAAGGCAATGGAAGGTCTAACACTAACAGCCCTTTATACCTAACCTGCTTACAGCTATGCTCCGCCTTCATGGTAATCAGACCTAAGCTGATTGGTCCTGACTGTCACAGGGATACTAAAGCCAATTGTGCTGCTTTTGGTAAAGTGTGCTTCAGTCAGGTCACCAAAAAAGATGCCATTTGAATTGCCTGTGGGCTGTAACAAATAGTTTTGGGATTGGGTTGGATATATTGTTTCTATCATAGATGTTCATTTGGGAGGAAGGGAATGTGTTACGCTGCACCAGGCATATTTGGTCATACCCTGCCACTTTCCCCCAACTGGGAATGAATAGCTCTGCATTCTCACAGTCCCCAATGCACTGGAGCGACCTCTCGTCCTTGGGATGTTGGACAGGGCGCACAGTTTGGCCTTTTAAAATGTAAGCGGACGTGATGGCTTAGCTGGGGAAGGGGCTGTGGCTTAGTGGTGCAGCATCTGCCTTGTGTGCAGAAGGTCCCAGACCAGTTATAAGCCCTGAATTCTCCAGTTCATAGTATCGGGCAGTAGAAAATGAGAAAGTCTTCTACATGAGACACAGGAGAGCTGCCGCCATTCTGAGCAGACAATACGGACCTAAAAAGACAAACAGTCTGATTTAGTAAAAGCAGCTGCATGTGGGCTGATGGGTGGGATACTTCAAGGGCGTAGACTTTCCAATTTCCCGGGGGGGGCTGGGGCTGGGCCAGAGGCATTGCTAAGTCATTAAAAGAACTGGGACCCAATGACATCATAGGGAGGAGCTAGTGATATCACAGGCATGGTTACTATCTGTGGAGGTGGACCCATGTGGGATTTAGGGATGGGCTCCCCAGAAATTTAGGGAGGCCTGGGAACCGCCCTAGCAATGTCCCTGGGCTGGGCTAACCCCAGGAACAGTTGCCTTCTTAGCACACTGCTTAGAAACTTAGAAAGCCCCACACACACTGCACACTGGAATAAGAACATAATATCAGGCCATACCACATTGCAATAAAGCCCCTACAACTGTATACAGAAATACTGAGCTTCCCTACCATTTGCCACAACTAGCCCACCACACAAGAAGAAGAAGAAGAGATTGGATTTATACCCCGCCCTTCACTACCCAAGGGAGTCTCAGAGCGGCTTACAAACGCCTTTCCCTTCCCCTTCCCACAACAGACACCCTGTGAGGTAGGTGGGGCTGAGAGAATTCTGACAGAAACTGCTCTTTTTCAAGAACGGCTGTGCCAGAGCTTGTGACTGACCCAAGGTCACATCAGCAGGTGCAAGTGGAGGAGTAGGGAACCAAACCCGGTTCTCCCAGATTAGATTTGGCCCGGGGTCACTCAACCAGCAGAGTGTATTCTCACTCTGCTGGCTGAGTGACCCCGGGCCAAATCTCCCCCTCTCTACCTAACCTACCCCACAGGGTTGTTGTGAGGGTAACACACACACAATTTTTAAAAAGGTGTTCAAAAGTGAGCTGGGTGACCTTGGGTCAGTCACAGCTCTTTCAGAGAGAGAGAGAGAGGGAGGAAGGGGAGGGAGAGAGAGAGCTCCGCGCCT